TACAGAGTGGTTCAAAGTGGTTGCAGTAACCAAATTTTACCTCAGAACTTCATTTTTACTTAATTTCTACATAAAGCACATTTCAAACTATGAAAATTTTGAATATATATTATATATATGCCAATGTCTTCACTCTCCAAGCTTTCTAAAGATCTTCTTTGAGGCCCTGGTACTTCACTAGTTTCTCATGTTCTTTTTTCTTGATGTTACCATCACTTGGTATAACTACATCGGCCACAACGGCTGTCAGTCACCACAATGTATAGTTGGTTCTCCATCACCATTTTGTTGATCTGGACCTGGAAGTCCCACAGGAGCTTAGCTCTCTTGTTCTCTACCACCTTAGGGCGTGTTACCCACTTTGACCTTGTAGCTTCCAGTCCATACGCTGCACAGATGTTTCTGTATGCGATGCCAGCCACTTGGTTGTGGTGTTCCACCTATGCTTTCCCTGCCAGTATCTTATATATCTTTTATATATATATATATAAGATACTGGCAGGGAAAGCATAGGTGGAACACCGCAACCAAGTGGCTGGCATCGCATACAGAAACATCTGTACATATATATAAATATATATATATATATATATATATATATATGTGTGTGTGAGTGTGTGTGTGTGTGTGTGTGTGTGTGTGTGTGTGCCTGCAATATTTTGCACTCTGTGTACAATGAAGATCAAAATTAAATTCAATTGGATATCCAATTAAATTTAATTTTGATCTTCATTGTACACAGAGTGCAAAATATTGCTAACAAAAAATTTAAAAAGTGTGACAAACATTAAAAAGCTTATTTTCATCTTTTTCTACAGTATTATTTTGCCATGATCACTATTGCTTAAGTATCAGTTTTATTTAAAGTAGTTTCCTTTTTTCAATTTAATTTTCTTTTCCATGTTTTTCATATTCTGTAAGCTATTTATCTAATAAATAATAATTATTCTTTGTTACATGATGATCATGTTGGCCAATAGGGAGACAATCTGATTATAGGATCCTAGCAGCACAGCATCATTCCTTAAATTGGTGATGCAATATTATTAAACAAAATCTTAATTCTTTTTTAACCTTTACAGTGTTAAACAAAGTCTTTAGTGAAAATATTTAGTTTATCTAAAAATAAAGACGTAAATAAATAAAAAATATCCTGGTTAAATAAATTAAGCCTTTACTAAATAAATTTGAAGAAAGCCTGTGTGAATGGTAATTGCTGATAATGATCGTTGAAGCTGCTTAAGGAGTGAAGTTAAAGTGTAAAAAAAATTCTAAAGAAAAAAGAAATAGGAGAGGAAAAAAGGTTTGGCTCCGCCCACTTGGCTACTATGGCAACCATGTTGACAGCACTCAAACAATTAACTAGAACATTTCTGTAGAACTGAATATTAATTAGGTTTATGTTGTGTTAATAATGTGAATGGTATGTTAATTATGTTAATAATGTTTATGTTATGTTAATAATGTTTATGTTATGTAAATGAGGTCCAGGTTATGCTAATTAGGTCATGTGACCTATGACATCATAAAGGCATACTTCATCATTCACAGCTCCCCTCCATCACACTAGTGACTGACCTCTCGTTGGACACATCACATTTTGTGAGCTCTCTCTGATAACAAGGATCTGTTACACTAGAACCTAGAAATGTCTAGAAGCAGCACCGCTGATGAGAAGAAAGTCTCCTGGGTTGATTTATGTGAACAAGAGGTGAGTGTGGATTATAACGCAATAATCAACGTTGACACTGATTCAGACTCTGAAGATTGTGTAAAGCCACCACAAAAGGTTTCTCTACCTGAGAAAGTCCAGCAGGAATCGTCTGTCTGTGAAAATCAAAGAAACATGGACCGTCTTTTGAAGCAAGTGGAGGGACTCAAGAAAATTTTGAAAGCTTCCACAAATTCTCTAAAAAAGGAGAAAGTGAGACGAGCCAAAGCTGAATCTGACTGTGTGTTTTACAAGAGAGAAATTACCGATTTAAAGCAGGGATTAGATTACTACCAGCATAAGGTAGAGACTCATGAAAAAACGGTGCAGACTTTACAAAACCAGCTTCAGAGCAAAGAAAATCTCTGTGAGATTCTGCAACAGCGTTCAAAGCAGGAGTCACTGCTGAGACACAACTTAGCTCAAGAAAAACAGAAGAGTGACAAGGAACATATAATCAATAATAAGTTACAGAAGGAAATTGCAGAATTACACAAGGAGAAAGAAAATCTTTTAAACAAGCTGGAGAATTTTTCCTCCATGAAAAAGGAGGCAGATGAGAAGATGTCTGCACAGCTGGAAACCTTGAAACACCAGTTGGAAGAGAAATCTTCTCTCTGTCATCAACTGGAATCGTCTTTTATTAAGGAAAAGCAGCTGAGAGTCCAGTTACAACAGGAGAAGAAGAACCAGAAAAAAGATTTAAGTCATCAGAAATTAAAGAACGAAATCTGGGAGTTAGAGCAGGGACTGGATTACTATCAAAATAATGCAGAAACCCGTGAAAAAAGAATGAAGAGTTTACAGATCGAGCTTCAGAACAAAGAAACTGCGTGTGAAGATCTGCAGAAGACTTTAAAACAGCTGAGAGTCCAGTTAGCTCAAGAGCAGCAAAACAGTCAGAGCAAAGACACAATTACTGAGAATTTAAAAGAGGAAGTTGGAGAGCTAAAGAAGAGCCTTGTGCAAGCTCTGGAGAGTCTTAACTCCACAACAATCGAGGTGAAGGAGAAGATGTCTCAGCAGCTGGAAGTGTTTAATCAGCAGTTAGAAGAGAAATCTGCTCTTTGTCAAACACTTAAATCAAGTTTAGACAAAGAGCAGCAGCTGAGGGTGAGCTGTCAGGCTGAACTGGACAATACCAGAGTTCTTGTCTCTGAGAATTCAGATCTCCAGCAGGAGATCCAGGATTTGAAGGAGAGAAACTCTGAACTCAGAGATGTGATGATCACACACGTCTCTGAGAAAGTCGAGTCAGACCAGCAGTTTGTTCAACAGCTGCAGAAACTCAAAGAGCAGCATGAAGAGGAATTAGTTACCCTAAAACTGCAGCTTAAAGAACATCTCAGGTCTGAGATCCAACCCGGTTCTGAGATTTATTCACCAGAACCACAGCCGTCTGTGGAAAGTCTGGAGACAAATCCTGACAAGGATTGTCAGACGGACACGGACGTTTGTCAGACTGAAATCGTTCAGGAAACGCTGGAGTTAAGCCAAAGTCTCCACAGTAACGAGTCTCCATCTGAAGAAGCCGTTCCACAAACAGTCAAACCGCAGCAAAACATTTCTAAGTGGAGACGCTTCAAAAAGTTTATGACTCCAGCGTGTCTGCGGAAACACAAGAACAAGTTATAAACTAATTACCTGCCCTCACACACACCACCCTCACACACACACCTTCACAAACCACCGTCCAATATTCACACACCTTTAGAAAAAACGGGGCTGTATGTTGGAGAAGATGGTCGTGCTTTCGTCTTGCAGAGGTTGCTGGTTTACATGCCAGCTGTGACCCCTCTGTGTGACAGAGCACGTTCTCTCTCATGCACGTGTGGGTTTTCTCCGGGCGCTCCGGTTCCCCCACAAACACGTGTTTAGGTTAATTAGTGACTCTAAAATGTCTGGGTGAGTGAGTGAGTGACTGGTGTGACTGGCCACAATAGAAAAATGATAAATCTCCAGAGTCTGACTCAATCTGGAACAATCAGATCAACAGTCTCTTATCAAAAAGTATTTAGAGTGTGCTTCAAGTAGGCAAGGCAGCTTTATTTGTATAGCACCTTACAACAGCATCAAACCGACCAAAGTGCTTCACAGAAATTAAAACATTAAAAAACAAAACACAACATAAAAATACATAAAAACTAAAGCATCTCTGCCAGTCTTCAAGAGTCGCCTAAAAACCCACCTCCTCTGCTTGGCGTTTCCTGAACATGTTTGAATCTGGCCCTCTTTTATGTTGATTTTATCTCACAGTTTTCATTGGTTCACTGTATCCCTTGTTTTACACATTTGTCTTCTACTAGAATGTTTCACCTTTTTTGTAATTTGAATAGCTTTTATTTTCTGATTTATTCACTATATTTAACTTTGTGCTGTATCATGTTCAGCGCCTTGGGCTTCCTGACAGGGTTGCGGAAGGCGCCTTATAAATAAAGCTTTGATTGATTGATTGATTGATTGATTGATTGATTGATTGATTGATTGATTGATTGATTGAAAGCTTAAGAACTAACACTAAAAAGACTAAAAGACTCTCATGCTGAGTTAAAAGCCAAATCATAAAAATTGGTTTTCAAAAGAGATTTAAAACCAGAGAGTGAAGAGGCACTTCTATACTTAGATATACATACTTTATATACTTACAGATATACCTAAGTAGTAGTGTGTTATCAGTACATTTTATTTGACTCATTCTAGTAAGGGCAAGATGTAAATCATATATTTGCAAATCCTATCTAACAAGTTTTAAGCAATTGGCCAGCTTTAGCATGAAAAGCTCAAGAGTGAATAATAGTGTAGGAGTTTATTTGGTAATAATTGGCTGCAAAGGGGGCTAGCCCCTATTTAAAACAACCAAAAATTAAATTTATCCCATCCGCTGAATCACCACCTTAACGTGGTGGGTGGGTTTGCGTACCCCCAGGATCCTGAAGGATGTTTAGTCAGGGTGTTGGCTCCAGGTGGGGTCTCCCGTGGCAGAATTTCCTCAGGTGAGGGGTCAGACTAAGAGTGATTCAAAGACTTATTTTATAGAAAGCCATGAAGAAACAGTCTCCATGATGCAGAACTGACTGGTGGACACTAGACAATCCTCATGGACGAGAAGGTCACCTGTGCAGCTCCAAGCAGCAGAATAAACAAATCTGTTCAGAGTATTTGGCTTCTTGAAGTTTCTGGATTGTGTTTTTGTAAAGTGATTAAAACATAATAAAAAGGTAAGTAGACTCCTCTGATTTACTGAACATGTCTCTTCTCTCATCTTGAACAAGAAGCCTGTTGGATGAGAGTCAAACGTCTTCAATAAACACAAGTCCAGCTGCCATTTTTAAAAGTTACTAAGAAGATCACGTCCCACACGCAGAGAATTAACACCAACCTAGATCAACACTAACCAGAACCTCATTT